GCCGCCCGAGCAAACGCTCTAACACTGGTTCTTCTGAGGTTGCTTTTAGTAGCCGTCGTGGTGGGAGACGGGCACCTCCCCCCGCCCCAGTCGAGGAGGACGAGGAGCGCATTGACCCTGATGCGGATGTGGTGCCAGCGTGCAAATATGGTATACAGGCTGTCCCCACCCATGCTCGACGCTGGTTTCAGACATTTGTCCCGTCAGTCAACCCGGACCCTGAGGTTGCTATTGACAATGGGAAGTTGGCCCGTAAATATGGCGACATTTACAACAACATTCGGGCTTTGGGTTTCGACAGTATATTCCGTCCGGGTGATGCGGTGAATGTGAACCTAGTGAAAGAATTTTATGCTAACTGGCAACCTGAAGCCATCCTGGATGCGGTTTACGAAGTGCAGGTAAGGGGTAAAGTGATTCCATTCTCCTCCAGGGTGATCAATCGGATTGTGGGGTTCACAGAACATTCCCACAAGCTCTTTCAGAGGTTTCTTCGTCGACCAGACTATCCGGCTATTCGCCGCCTGTTATGTGGTGCTGACTCTTCTGCCGCACAGACACGAGATGCCAATGAATTCCACAAAGACATGAAGAAGGCAACTTTCCAGCGGCCAGCCAGGGTTCTGTTGCGGTTGATTAATGCCAAGATCACGCCGACTGGCAGTGACACTGATGTACCCCGACTGAAGGTGTGTTTGATTTATGCCCTGTTGACTCGGATGCAGTTCGACCTTGGTAAAATCATGCTTGAGAATATGGCTAAAGTGCGACCACTTGGGGCTCGCCGTCTACATTACCCGAGTATGATCACTCGATTGTTGTGAGCACACCTTGTGGAGGAGGAGTTCCACTACGACAGGACTATTCCAGTGTCTTACCCTATTAGGCCCTTTGATGTTACATCGGCGATTGATCCCCCTACTGCGGCTGTTAATTCGGACCAACGGATGGTCCGCGTTGAGGAGACTCTACAGCTACTGTTTGCTGACTTGCGCCTTCGGGTTGATCGGGAGGAGGCTGACTTGGAAGAGTTGCAGCAGGATCACCCCCTTTCTGCTATCACTCAGCAGTGGTTGGGGTTGGCGAGAGGAGGATAGCTGCCACCCGATGAAGATGTGAACTCCATTCCCTCTGATGATGAGGAGTATTTGCGCACCTTCGAGAGTGCTGATGATTAGGCCTTGGGCCTCAGGAGTCCCTTTTTCACTCTTGATTTTACTGTTTTGCATTGGGGACAATGCAATCTCTTAAGTGGGGGGTGGGGTGCTCCTATTTGATTGTATTTATACTTTTCTTTGTTTTTCATTTGCCAGTTGGTTTTGTTTGATTTGTTTCTTGCTTTCTTAGACAATTGGTCTGTAAACTATAATTCTGAATTCTATCGGGCCTGTAATAGTTAGTAAGTAAGTATGTAATTCGACTCTTCCCGACGATGGATTTCGTCGACTGGTTTCTTGAGGGAGATGAGTCGAAAGAAAAAATTTCATATATGTGAAATCCAAAAATATGTCTTTTATTTTAGTTTTTCCTTTTAGGTAGTGTACCCTTGGTTTTTCTTTGTGCCGCGATTCTTTTCCAAGGGTTTTGCTTGAACTGGGTCTAGTTAAAAAATTTTAAGTTTTAGGAATTAAGAATCGTTAGTTAGATTGAAGGATCAACTTCCCTTGATTGCATGTGCCTTGAGAGTGGTAAGGGCCTTAGTTGTGACACCTAGGCTCAATTCTTGACTCTTAAATAAGTACGTTAAAATTGTATGACCTTAACTTTGCTTAACTACTTTGTCTAGAGGCCGATCCTGAGTGAGTTATGTGCCATGTGTGTGTAAGGATTTGTTATATTCTGTGAATTGCATTTGATGCCTAGAACTTGCCCCGTGTGTTTGCAAAGCGAAATAGTAGTTTTGTTCAGTCTTGGAAGTGACATAGGCGTTTCTTTGTTGAGCCATATATACATATTTTAACCGCCTAATTGTGATGTATCGTAGTTAACCCCTTTGAGCCTGTAATCCTGTTTCTTTGGCAACCACATTACAAGCCTTACCCATTTGTTTGAATTAACCATCTATTTGAACCTTTTCACCTCTCATGAGCACTTGAATTGTTATGAACTTTGTAAAAGTTAAAGTGTGGGGTGGTGGGTGTGGCTTTTGAGTGGAACTAATGGAATAAGGAGAAAGGTGCATTGTGTTGGAAAAAAAAATAATCATAGAAGAGCCACTTGAATTGAAAAATAAAGAAGAAGAAAAAAAATACATACATACATACATATATATATATATATATAGTGGTGGCTCTTGACGTAATTGTGCTTAAAGATGTAGGGAGTTAATCTAGATTGATGTGAGGGTGGAATTTTGGTTTGACATAAGTGGGGTTTGAAGGTTAAAGTATATGTATTAAAGTGCTTAGGGAGGTGTAGTCACTCTATATCTAAATGTATCCTACCCGTCCCGCAGCCTACATTACAACCAATTAAAGTCCCACTTAATTCTAGACTGAATGAGCTCGATTAGTAGAGTAGTACACTACGGGCAAGCCTATGGTGCATCTTTTGTGGCATATGAATGTTATTTCTGAGAGTGAGTGAATTCTTTCTATCTCGAGTTCCTAAATATTCTTTAATTTTATTGTGTGGGACTACTCTCTTATTGTTGTGTGAGGGCACTTGATTCATGAAGGAAAGGTAATGTCATTGACCTCTGTGTTAGAGTAAGTGGGCGAGTGATTAATGCATGGTACGTTTGAGTCGAATCTTGAGGGTGGGATGTTATGATAAGGTGCTCAGTCCACTTTAATTATTCTTGGCATGGTGTATCAGGGAGGTTGCTTGATGAACGGTTGTCCCTAGGTGCAGTGTAGTTCAAATGCTCGAGGACGAGCAATTGTCTAAGTGTGTAGAAACCCGTGTATTAGCCGTGGTATTACATTCCAATGATTGCGTTTTTACGTGTGTTTGAGCTCAAATGATAGTGAATTACACTTAGTACGTGTTTTATGCCTTGCAGGAAGCGATCCGGAGCTCAAAAGTTAATTTGGAGCTAAATTGATCAATTTGGAGCTTTGAAGTCTGAGTAAAAGCCCAATACATTAAGTCGGGATCGTGTTCGGGGGTCGTGTACCAAGTCTAGATGTTAAAAGAGGACGAAATAAGTTTACTCTGAGAAAATTGTACTGCTGCGCCGCATGGGGCACCGAAAGGCGCGGTGCAGCAGTGTAAAATGGTGCCTGACTTGAAAATATGAAGCTGCAGCTAAAATGCACTACCGCGCCGCAGCCTGCGGCGCGGCTGTTCAGATTTTACAGAGCTAGGTCCTAGTTCGCAGGAAAGGGTTTTTTCGTTTGGGCCCGACGCTACTTGGTATAAATACATGTAAAAACGTCATTTTGAAGATTTTTTGACATATCTTAGACCTAGGGAGGCTATTGTGGAGGAGAGGCACTACTTTAGGGTTAGACAACATCCTTGGAGGCAAGAACACGCTAGGAGCAAGGCGGGGAATTCTTCTACGAGTTTTTCCTTCCTCTTCCTATTTTTCATTGTTGGTTATGACTTTTAGTATTGTAGTTTTAAATGCTATTATGAATAGCTAATTTGTTATCTAGGGTTTTGATGGAACCTTTTGTAGGATAAATTCTTGTTATTTTTATATAATTGATCCGTAGTATTTTCTCTATTTGTTCAACTACGTGTTTGTTGTAGTTAATTGACAGGATCCTCAATTAGCTGTGCCTATTTAGTGTGCATAACTCGGGAGAAAGTGCATATTTAGGTAGTTGTTAAACAACATCACTCCCAAAGTATAAGAGGGATCTATAACTGCGGGTTTAAAGGCGGGATTAGGGATAACGAAGCCTTGGGTGCAATCTAAAGTGAGCTGGAATAAACAAAGTCAGCTAGCGTAACTCGGAAGAGTGCGTCTAGTAAATTGTGGTAATTACTCGGGAGAGAGTTACGACAGTCAGAGCGCTCATGATCGGTAGAGAATACTTAGGCGAATTTATAGAAAACGTAGCGGGAAGGATTCCGACAATTGGGGAAATCATAACTCTAGACCTCCTTAATCTTGACTCAAATCCTTATCCTTGTTAATTGATAGTTTTACGGCTTTCTAGATTTGTTAGTTAATTAGATAAAAATAAATATTATAATCTTTATAAATAGAAAACTGTTTGGACTTGTGTTTCTTAGCGATATTGAACAACTATAGCTAAGCCTTAGTTCTCTGTGGGATTCGACTCCGGACTTGTAAACCGGATTATATTTGCAACGACCGCTTAGTCCTTTTTATAAGGCATAGTTGGGCGTGATCACCCGCACTCTTCCAAAACTCCACTAGGATTTCATCCGGCCCGGTTGCTTTGCCTCTACTCATCTTACGCATAGCCCCCTCAACTTCATCAACTCTAATATGCCTACAATACCCAAAGTCACAATGACTCCCGGAGAGTTCCAATTCACCGAGGACAATGCTCCCGCCCCCTCCTTCTTTAAGAGACTATGAAAGTAGGTCTGCCATCTCCGACGGATCAGCCCCTCATCCAACAAAACTCTACCTTCTTCGTCCTTGATGCACTTCACTTGGTCCAAGTCCCGCGCCTTCCTTTCTCGCGCCTTGGCTAACCTAAACAACCTCTTATCCCCACGTCGGCCCTCGAGTTCCTCATACAAACGACTAAAAGCTGCATTTTTGGCCGCCGTAACTGCTAACTTTGCCTCTTTCTTAGCCAACTTATAATGCTCCCTATTCGCCCTATTCTCCTCCTCGTCTACACTTTCCACTAGGTTCAGATATGCTGCTTTCTTGGTTTACACTTTTCCTTGCACCTCTCCATTCCACCACCAGACTCCCTTGTGACCACCAGAGTAACCCTTTGAGACCCCTAATACCTCTCTTGTGGCTTTCCTAATGCACTACGCAGCCGCGGTCCGAATAGCGCTTGCGTCCCTCCACGCCCCCATGGTCACCAGCTTGACCCTCAACTCCTGCGCTTTAGCTTCCATCAAGGCTCCCCACTTGATCCTATGTTGGCTATACGTCGCCCTCTTCCTCCTCTTCCTCGTGATCTCAAGGTCCATGACCAGGAGCCTATGGAGGGTCGAGAGGTTCTCACGCGGGATGCCTTGCAACCCGTGCAAAGACCTCTATCGGACTTCCTGTAGAGTAAATAATCAATTTGAGTCTCGACCACCGAACTCCGGAAGGTGACCAGGTGCTCCCTCTTCTTCGGGAAACTCGAGTTTGCTATCAGCAAATCAAATGCTCTACCAAAGTCCAGCAAAGACGTTCCTCCTCCGTTTCTATCTCCAAAACCAAAGCCACCATGCACATTATCGTATCCCCCAGACGTCGCGCCAATGTGGCCGTTGAAATCCCCTCCTATGAAAAGCTTCTCGGTATGCGGAATACCACGCACCATCTCATCCAAATCCTCCCAGAAACGCCTATTAACTTTCTCATTCAAGCCTGCTTGGGGTGCATACGCACTGATTATGTTCAAAGTAAAACTTCCAACAACTAGCTTAATAGTCATCAGCCTGTCATTCACCCTCCAAGCCTAAGAACTACACCAGACACCAGAAATAGATTACACATGAATACACAAAAAATGCAATAATTTCACCTCTAAATATGAGTTTCCCGTTAAATTTGTCTCTGTCATTGTTTCAGCAAATCTAACAACTAGAATTTGGTAAATATTTAATTAAAAAACTAGAAGTGTCCATTTGACATACTTAAAGAACCAAAACTGCACATGTGTGTATTAAAAGGACTATTATATTTTATAAGGTTTTATTCTTTAGTTGATTAATATGTATTTTTTTTCTTAATTCGTTACGTAATAAAAATATCTGGTTTAGTGTATAGTGAATCTGAATAGATCTGTTTCCATATAGAAGTTAGATTGTAAATTCTAGAAAGGTAAGAAAATTTTATGGACTACTATATATCCTTTTCTTGTTTTCAATTTTTAATGATAGACATTAACTATATTTTTTCGAAAATTATGTAAATGTTTAAAATTTAGTTTTATAACAAACTTCTTTATTCTTTATATTTTTGTTGAAAATTCTTTGTTAACAACGTGAGAAGTGAAATACTTGAAATTTATTTTTACATGACTCTTGAATTAAAATCTCGAACCTCACCTAATTGACCTTCAAAAATTAGAACATATAAATTAACCAAGTGCGAGTTTAAGGTTCTTTAATTGTAAATAATAGATTTTGAACGGTTATTTTTAATACAGAAAAGGGAAATTGTGATTGATAAGGTTTACGATTGATTCGTAGAACTTTTTACTACATTAGAACTAAGATGAAACATCATCACATTATTTAAAACTAATCACACCCTTTTTAGTAATAAGTTAAAGCCAATCACAAATAATTGCTTTAATAAGTATTAATGGGTAACAAAAAAAGGTAAATCACCTACGAATATATAAACTTTACATCATCGAAAATACAAGTTAACTCCTAAGTATAATCATTCTACATTAGTAAATCACGTCCTACTAATTAGGGTGTCACGAACCAAAATCCACTAAGGGTCGTGATGGCGCCGGACACCGCTGTCAGGCAAGCCAACCAATTACTTAATTAAACTCCAATTTTAACAATTTTAAAAACCAAGATTTTCCTTTAAATTTCATAAGTAAAAAGATAACTGCTTCAATTCTGTTACAAAATATTTAGTAAATGTGGATGTCCACTACTCCCACTACTTTCACCCATGATGTAAATTACCTCCCACTACTCATCACCATTATGATTGTAACTCCCACACCTCCATAACCCCTCCCCACTCGATCTTCCCCGTGATCTCAATTGTTAATGCCATGTTTAAGACAATGATTTTGTAACCTTCATATGTAATAGTATAAATAGAGGCATGAAATGTGAGATGGAAGACACTTGAACACTTGATGAAATAAGAAAGTTATCTCTTCTTCTCTTATTCTACTTATCTTCTTGTTTTATATTGTTACTTTGAGCTACATTTTTTTAACACGTTATCAGCACGAAGTTGAGCTCTTTTCATTGTTCAGGTATATTTGTTCATTTTGTTTTTCGTTTTATATTTTGATTTCATGATTAGTGTCTTTAATATGCCGTTTTATAATTTCTCACATCTCTAGATATATGTAAAAAATAAAGAATTCTATGTTTCTTTATTTTAATTTATTTGCGTGATTGTCATGTGAAAGTTGCTAATTTTTATGTTAATAGAATTAATTGAGAGAAGATATTTTGTTCTAGTTAACATCAAAGATATACTAATAATTTGAAGAAAAAAATAGTATTCTTTTCTATGGAATTATCACTTTAGTGTATATATAGATCACAAATTTGATATTATGTCAATTTTTAAGATTCTTTATGCTATTATCTTAATGATTTCTACTTAGTTATCTTCTTTGATAGTTTTTACTATGTCGAATTTGTCAAAGCTTGAGTTTGTGGCACTTGACATTTCTGGAAAGAATTACCTATCATGGTTCTCGATGTTGAGATTCACTTACCCGCTAAAGGCCTTGGTAACACCATTACTCAGGGTAATGAGGCATCAAGCCAGGACAAAGCGAAGGTCATGATTTTCCTTCGTCATCATTTGGATGAAGGTTTGAAGGTTGAATATTTAACAGTGAAAGATCCACTTGAATTGTGGACTGGCCTGAAGGAAAGGTATGATCACCTTAAGGCTACGGTATTGCCAAGGGCTCGATATGAGTGGATGCACTTACGGTTGCAAGATTTTAAGACCGTAAGTGAGTATAACTCTGCTGTATTTCGAATAACTTCCCAATTGAAATTATGTGGGGAAGTTATGAATGATGAGGATTTGCTGGAAAAGACTCTTACGACTTTTCATGCCTCAAATATGGTATTACAGCAACAATACCGTGAAAGAGGTTTTAAAAAGTATTCTGAATTGATCTCATGCCTTCTGGTGGTTGAGCAACATAATACCCTTTTGCTGAAAAATCATGAAGCCCGTCCCACAGGGTCAGCTCCGCTTCCTGAAGCGAATATGGCAGCTAGACGTGATAAGTCTGGAAAAAGACAGAATAATAATCATGGCCATATGAATGTACGTGGGCATGACAATGGTAAGAGACGATATAATAGTCGTCATCATGGTGGTCATGGCAAACGAGAGAACAATATGGGTTCTCAAAACAATCCTTCAAGAGGCAAAAGGGGTAACTGCTACCGCTGTGGCATGAAAGGTCATTGGAAAACTGAATGTCGTACACCTGAGCATTTTGTCAGGCTTTATCAAAACTCCATCAAAAGAAAGGCAAATAATGTTGGAGCATCTTCTGCTAATGCCCCAGTGGAGTTACACTTGACCTTTAAAAATGATTTTGAGGCAGGGCCTTCAAACAAAAATGATGACAATGCCGAGGCAAATCTTGCTTTGAATGATGATGATTTTCAAGGCCTCGATGATCTTACTCATTTGGAAGTTGAAGACTTCTTTGGAGATCAAAACTAAAGTTTGATCATTTTACTGGGGAATGCAATTATGTTATTTTTATTTTCAGTGGTTTTTTTTTGTCTCGTTCTAAAGTTATTTTTTATTTTCAAGTAGTACTTAAGTTGTCTTATGTTGTCGTTGGTGA